TGAAATTTTAAAATTTTATAAATTGAAATTTTATGTTTAATCTCATGTGACGATTTATTGTATGAGATATCTATCAGCCTTCACGGTTTAGTCAAATTAAAATTTAATCAAATTGTGTTGGTACGGCTCGTATGTGCGTAAGTAATCCCATTCGATTTATTCTAATTTTCTAATATTACTAAAAAATAATAATCTCTATTGCAGTTTAATGATTTAACGCGACTCTAACAAATTAAAATCTCCCTTCCCAATTCGACAACAATTTACGTCACAGCCCAGTGACATAGACTTTCAATCATTAGGAATTATAATTAAAAATTGTTACTTCTCACCTGGCTCCTACTCACCATTGAATATTTCGACAATTTATTTTACTTTATGTACAACTTCGCTACAAATTATTTCTGCAGCTTTCGTAAAGATTGCTACGACTCAAACGTGATAAACGATCACCTTTAATTAAAAATTAATAATAATAATAATAATAATAATAATAATAATAATAATAACAACAACAACAACAACAACAACAACAACAAAAACACAAATAACGGTATTGTTATGATAAATATAAAATTATAAAAATAAGACTAGTGTTGTTATTATAATTTAAAGTATTTGTATAACTGACGAGAGTAGAGAAATGGAATATTAATATAATTAATATGGAATATTAATATAAAACAAATACTCAAACGCAATTCCAATACCTCTTTACATAGCCAATGTATAAGCCTCCTAAATGAAAAATGTCACATCTATTTTATTAATAACTAAATAGTAACATTACACAAATACTCGGATTTTTCCTGCAATATATATATATATATATATATAATATATATACATTTCACATTCAATACATTAGTTCATTCGTTATATATTTTTACTAACTGATATTTGTCTAATATGAGATATATTTTGCCTATTTTAACAAGAATGAGAATCTAAGAATGAGATAATCTTTTTTAAGCTTAAATTTCAATCAAGGAATAATGGAACAAGTAAATTATTTGGATTTAACGTTTGTGATGAATATCTACGAAACAGCAAACTAAAAATATTTAGGGTTAAGAGTTGGAATATCTTAAGAACGAAGCATATTATATTATGTATTAATTATTAATAATTTATGAAAATTCGCAAACGTGATTTAGCATTGATTTGTAATTTTTAAATGAGTTTATTTTTATTACAATTTTCACTATAATAAAAATTAATTGTATACGTTGAGAAATTAAAAATACACTTAATTTAAAGAATATATGATTGTATGTAAAATGTAATAGGTTTCTTCATTATAAATTAGCTTATAAACAAATATAATTTAGTATTAAAAATAATCATTTGGATAAAATTTAATTAGTCGACATCGAGAATATTTTTATTTAAATTTAAGACATTCTATGTGACTTGATGTTATATTTCAGAAATTGTGAAAAATTAGGTTTTATCAGCGGCAATTATGATTATAGTAATAAACTATTTGTGCATTTTGATATTCGTTAATATAAAATGGAATATATAAATAATAATGTTAAAATATGCAAATTATCCGATTAAAATGGTCAAATCGTGAAAAATTTATCTCCGATACGAGTGATAAAAGAATAGAATACTTAAAAAATAAATGGGATTATACAATGACAAATACATTATTTATTTTTCTTTTCCATTGCTTTATTCGCATAAAACATTTGTTAATGATTGATAATACAAACGATATCGTGCTTTATTTTCAATTAAATCAAACTCTAGATCACAATCTTCTCTTTACGATCCAATTGAAGTTTCGTTATACAATTCTTATAAAGATTGGAAAACGTAATTGACGTTTATTAAATTTATTCAGGTCAAACGCTTGTATATATTGGAAATATTTATTTGTATATTTGTATAATACAGTCAATCATTTTATATTTTGCTCGTTGAATTTATGGCTATAACTAAATATTGCTGACTCCATTGTCATAAAGATTAAACAATATAAAATTTATCAATTGAATTAAAACTGACGTATAAATATATAAATAATATTTTATATACGGTGTACAAGAGCTTTTAGTTTTCTTATTGACAAAAAATGCTCCGACATGAGTAAAAATCATTTGATTCTCACATTCGTTGAGTTATTTGTTTGGCTATTTTAATTGTGTTATTATACATTCGTCGCTCAATGCTCGCATATAAAAGTCATCTTCGGTAAAAACTCACTTTGGCAATCGGATCGTCAAAGTCTTTAAACTAATTATCTTTATATAATCCATTAAAAATCCATGAATTTGAATAGACAATGAAGAAACAAGTGCTACTTAATGGGGACTAAACTCCATGCTAAATGGATGGAAATTCGCGGGAATCTTAATTTCACTTAAGATTGACGTAACGATCAGAATTTGAAATAGTCGGTGGAGCGAACTGATGCATTACCTTTTACTCATCATGAATCTTATAAAATGCTCATTGAGTATAATGTCTTGGATATTTTTATATCAATGCTCATTTAGTCATTGATTTATGGCCCGAGTATAGGTAGTACCAGCGATCATCGTCTTTTGTTGATCGATAAAATATATAATAACACAAATTAGAAAAAGGTGTATCATACAATATAGTGCAAATCTAGGCGATTTACATGTTAAATTTGTACGCATAAAACTGCGCTACTGTCGTTCTGAGGAAAAATCCTTGCAAAAACTAAGGTTTATGTTTCTTCGTGCAAACTTGCACTATATTATATTGTTAAGAAACCAGAGTCATCAAAGAATAAATTAATGATATCAACCCATGTTTCTATTGATAATAAATATAATATTTATGCTTTAAAGTTTATGTTATAGATTACATTTGTAACTAAAGAGGTTTTAAATATAATTTGAAACAAATTATTAACACTATACAAATAGCCATCTATAAATATCTGTATAAATGTCTTATTTTGGACTCTGATTTCTTAATATTATTATTCGCCATATAATCGCAATATAAATCGGCATATTTCAAAAGTGTCGTCGAGTCACTGACTCAATTTAACTCTTCAATTATTACCTTTCGCAATGTGAAAAAATATATGCTTTTAGTTAACAAACATTTTAATTTAATGAATACAGTTACAAAGTACATTGAATCAACATTCTATTATTAATTAAGCAATTTATCCTCTAAACTTTCCTCGCAGGAATTCGAGCAAATCCATGTCAAGAATCATTTATATAAACAAAACAATCTAGATTATCGTGCATATTTTTCGTTCCATCTATCCATTAATTACGTACTGATAAAATTAAACCTTTTGCTTTTAGCTTTGTGCATCTTTGTACCAGTAAGTCAGAATTTAGCGTGCTATTTAATGAGCAGCCGTTAGTATTGGTTTTCAAGTATTGTGATTAATTTATCATCATTATAATACAAATATCAAAAAAATAATTATTCAATATTTTTTATAAACTATCTACTTACAACCGAATTATTGTTCTCGAGCAGAAGTAAATGAAAGTTCAACTTTTCGGAGAATTAAGAAGTTAAAATGTTTTATCGAAAGACGAATATTGAATTTTATAGGTAAAAGATAAAGTTATTTAAAGTTTTAATTATAAATTTACAGCAGATTATTCGGTATTGTAACGATCATATCTACCGTTTAAATAAGCAGTTTTATTAAACAAATAAATAAATTGTAGTAATACTTTTACAATCATTTTGTAGTTCGACATGTAAATAATAATAATAATAATAATAATAATAATAATAATAATAATAATAGTAATAGTAATAGTAATAGTAATAATAATAATACAAAAAATTACATACATGAAATTATGAAAATGATTTTTTTATTATAAATTTTTACGATATATTCTAAATATCTGATTAACCAAAGGCTAGTTGTAAATTTAATATAAATTATATAGTATTTTTATAATAAATTTCATTTAAATATCAAGTGTTTTCAGTGTGATGATGATGACCATGACGGCGACGACGAATCGTAAGATTTATATTTTTCATCGAAATTAGCTGAATTTGTTAATGTTTTATGGATCTCCAAATCGTTATTATTAATCTAAGAATCAGAAAAAGTACCACAATGAATGGTTTAATAATAATCCATAGGTTAATATTACAACAATTCAACATCTAAGGAATTGCATGCGTTACGTATGTACACATACAGGCACATGCATGCACATTACAAATTCCGTATGAACTCACATACGAGCTAATGCACAGACGATTTAATATTTTATCGAAGACGTCTGTACTTTCGAGTAAAAAAACGCGATTGTAATCACAGCGGAAAATTCAACGAAACGTCACGTTTCTTTCTTGTACAACAAAAAGCACTTATAATTATACAGCGATGTCACAGCTAATTATATATTGAACAGAATTTTTAATTTTTTCATCTATTTATTAAAATAATATTTTACTGTATTTTTGTGCTGTATAATTATACGTACATTTTTATTAAATTGGCCGATAAACAGTCACGTTACAAATCTACCACATTCTATAATAAGCAATTGTGGCAAAGTACCTCTATAGTATTTCATTAAAGAACATGTCGACATGAAACTTTTAATGAAACCTTAAGCGCTTGAATGAAATAAACAATTCTTTTCTTTTTATGTTTCTCGATTATCTCTTTTATACTCCATTGAAACACTAAAAAAACACACATGATTTATAGTACACACAAGCGGGAAATTCGTTCACATGGCTTTTTATAATTATAATCCCATTACGCTGTAACACCCACACATCCACACGGCCATACACACACACGCTCTCTCTCTCTCTCTCTCTCTCTCTCTCTCTCTCTTATTTTATGTCTTCATGTGGCCCAAAAATGTACTCGAGAAACCTCATCTCATAGACAATGTATGAAAACGTTGCAATCGGGTTATTCTATTTGATTCAAAAACTTCGTATAGTTTTTATCACTGTTTGCACGAAATAAAAAAAAAAAAAAAAAAAAAAAAAATAGAGATTTCCATAGATGTTTTTATAATTCTGTTCCTCTATGTAAACATGACACGCTCTTCGTATTGCATGAAAAACATCGAGACCAGATTTTATTCTTTGCAGTTGCTTTTAAAATGCTTTGAAAGCTCGATCGGAGTGGACGAGCGTCAGAGAGCCGACAAGGGAGACGAGAGTACGATCCAACCAAGTAATCGGATTTGGATAAAGGAGGCCTCCCTCGTAAAAGCCGAGATGACCGCCGTGTGCCAATTCAATGTACAGACAGTTTGATTTTGTTGCTGTAATAAGAAATATACATCCAATTAATACTTGATAATTTTTTATGTTCTTAAGCGCATACACGTAATGAAAATACGGTATCTACTTTATTGATAATCTACTCTTTGACGCATCATTAATGATATATTAAAGGATTTAATTATTAATTGTGTATTATCAATAACATTTAATGATAGTATTTTTTTTAATTTTAGTACATTGAATATTGATTTCAAATTTGAATATTTCAAATTAATACTGTTAATCATAAGTAGCTTGAAGCATTGCCAATAACTAATTGAATAAAATTATTTAATCAAAATTTTAATTCCTACAATAAAGAATAATTATATCAACTGTCAAGTACAAATTTATTGATATAAGTAGATAACGTCAAATCCCGTATGGAGTATATACTATAAATATTAAAAATTTCCTTAATGAAATGTAAAATGAAATTTAAAGATACCAGCTAATTCCTTTATAGGCAAAAGAAGTGATTCAGGAACGATGGGATCATCTAAAGCGTTGATAAACACCATTGGTGTGGTAATATTTTCAAGATAAAATATTGAGCTGCTCCATTTGTATAGATCATTTAAAGATCTAAAATTATGTACCTGCGCAAGTATAAAATAAAAACTTTAATTATAACCATTGCATTAATAATAACAACAACAACAACAACAACAACAACAACAACAACAACAACAACAATAATAATGAATATTACTTTTCTTGTGTAAGCTTCATCTAATTCTGGTAAGGTACCAGCGGATACAATATCCTTTTCGTTAAGTTTATGCCTTATTTTCACTTCTTCCGATAGCAATACATTCTTATGCCTCAGAATGATGTTTTTTACGGATTCTGTCATGACATAGAGATAAAATCGTCTAAAGTTGGTCCAGTTTAATAAATACTTCGTCCCTCTAAAACGATAATACGTTCCATAAGAATTATTTCGTAAAATAAATTAAATTGTTTCAAGTTAAACGAAGAGGCGGCTTACTTACTCAAGAGCATTATAACCTTGGCAAATGGAGATACCGCCGATAATGTTTGGAAGTTTATTCGTTCCATGTTCGCCCATATATTTTGTTACTAAATTACCACCAAGGCTAAAGCCAACGCAAACTATTTTCGTATTTCGGTGCTTCTCTAATAAATTTTTCATCATTGTATGATAATCATCGGTGTGGCCTAATTTTAACAGCAATCACATATGAATGCATTAATAATGAATCGACAGCCATGCGAGTGCTTGCAAAATCGTAATTATTAAACAATGTATTCTTATAGAATATATCGCAGAGCCGGCTCATTATGTCTAAAGACCTTGGCCGCAAAGCGCTCATTTATTATTGCAAAGTTAATGGCTTTCGATGGTTCGATTTGAAACGAGACAAGGCTCTTCCTGGAGTGTAGGTACACATTATATACGTACTACACAAGATTACGTAAATTCGCGAAGGAATCGCGGGAGTCTCGACATTTTTAACTATTATATCTCTTTAACTTTCCAGTAATTTTACGCGGAAATAAAGTGAATTTAAATACCATTAAATTATATAATCATAATTTTCAATTTAGTCATTATTTTTAACGAATAGAATTTTGAAACCAATTCGCCGAACAATCCATTAGCCAACCGAATTGTCTTTTCGAACAATTATTATTAAGTAAGAGCTAGTAATAGAACGAATAAGAATCTATTGAATCGAAAGCTAAATAGAAGTGTGGAGATAAATATGGCCATAATAATTTATTATTCAATACATGTTAATGAATTACATGGGCTTAAAAAGTTAAAGTAAAAAGTGTAAAATGGACAAACCATAGGTAAAAATTCTAGGTGCGGTAACCTTGACACTTGATAAAGCTCCTACGTGATTGAGAACGGTGCAACGATATCCGTGACATTGAACAAAATGCACGAATGTCCTGATGTAGACACTCTCAGAGCTATTTCCAATTCCAGGACAAATGCATATCGTTACATCGTCTGAAATTCAAATTTTTACAGATAATCATATGAAATTATTGCTATAGGTCCGGATTAATGTAACTATGCGGCGCAAATAATACAATGGAATAAGCTATAATTGGATGGAGTTAATAGATATATTTTGTCACAAACAAATGAAATAAACTAAATAGTCAATAAATATCTCATTTAAAAGTTTAGATTTTTAACAAATTGACAAATAACAAATATTCTAAGACTTGAAAACTTGTTTTAATTTTAACAAAAATTAATAACTACAAGATTTGTCCTTAAATTTCAACAAGTAGTGAACGAATTTTTTATAATGATGTTGAAATAAATGTGTAAAGAGCTGTAAAAGAAAATTAAATTATTCGACAACATTGTTATATATATATATATATATATATATATATATATATATTTTTATTGAATTTTTGAAAATATCTTTAAATTTCAGCAGCCAATCCCGTATTTGTTAAAATTAAAAATATTATAATAATAAAGATTAGAAAAATTGATATTTCTTATCAAATACTACATTGTTGGATAAAATATCGGCTATTTGGTCGAGTAAAAATTACACAAACGTTAAGCATAATCATTATTAAAGTTAGTTTAATTCGTGCTTAGAGTACAAAAGTTTCAACATGTCGCAAAGCAAGCAAATTATCATTTATAATACGTAATCGATTGATCCGCCTGAATACCTTCGTGACCATTACTTAGAGGTTGATACAAATCGTAGGTAAGCGTCGTTCCATCTTGAAGTGCAATATAAACTCGTTCACCAATGGGCCATGGGCATCGGACTCTGCCTATTATACTATGGACAATCGTTTGCACGTGGCCACTGAATCCCCATAATCTCGTTGGCTTATACCTAAAAATAAGTTTTTTCATTTTAATTTTAGATTTGGCACTGTCATTGATTAGGCAATACGAGAAGAATAATGAAGAATTTCAATTAATAATCATTCATTCTGACTTATAATTCATGATATTACGAATATCGTAAAAATTCTTCCAACCGCTTAATTACCTCATGTTCCATCATTTCGAAAAACATAGAGAATGATTTTTAAATGATTGTTGACATATAATGTTTTCTAAATTGAAGTATTTCTAATGGATTCCGTTAATGCAATTACACATCATTTTCAATGTCAACTAATATAAATGAAAAAACTTAATTCCTTAAAATATTGTATGAAATAAAATGTAATGCATGTTTGTTATAAAACATTGAGAAGAGTTAAAATTATTATAAAAACACAATTCATTTATTTCTTGCGGACAAAATTTATTTAATGTAGTTTATAGCATTGAGAAATAGTTTCAATGCAATATTCGAATGGAAATTTGTTTTTTACATTTTATTAACAATTGGCGGATTTACTAAAACGATATTATATATCAACTTTGAAAATAATTTGTAATAAAAAACAAATTTTCATTAAAGTATAGCATTAAAATATAGGAAGTATTGACAATTATCTTGAAAATGTAAAGTTTATAATTAGTTTTCTATTCATAAATTAATGTGCTTTTTAAAAATACTTGTATTCTCAATTCTTTTTATTATTATCACCAAGTAAAGTAAGAATTGCAGTAAATACTGAATTAAAAAATTATAATTCACACACAGAGAGAGAGAGAGAGAGAGAGAGAGAGAGAGAATATCAAAATTAAAATCTGTATTTTATTAACGATTGTATGTGCATGTGTAATGAATTATTTTACAATATTGAAAATGTTCACGATATTTTATGTCGTTGTGCAGGCATTTTTAAAATATTCAATTTACAAATTAATATAATATTTAATCTAAACTTCGATTTTATCAACAATAAACAATCCGAACTGTGTTCATGTCTTTTGTATTTTATAAACAAATATATTTACAATTATATAATTATTAATAATACTAATAAATGATCGAAATTATTATGAAAAAAATATGGAAATCAGTGTGTTCATAATTGTCTTTCTATTGACAAAATAAAAAAAAAAAAAAAAAAAATTATACCTATCAAGATATTTAAGAATATTTAAATGCCATTGAAATTAATAGCATTGATCATTCAGAAAATGTCAGTGCATATTCGAAAAAATGAGGACAAGAAATCTCACTAGTATCTCGTAATGGAAAAAAACGTGAAAGTACATAAATGTTTGATATATCGTCTGAAATATCCATAGCGAATGTTATCTATGTATAAAAAAAAAAAATTTTTTTATTTTTTTGCAATTATTATTTCACTAAATTAATGCATAGAATATATTATAAATGGATAGAAAATAGAAAAGTGCATTTCAAGAGACGGCAGACGATTAAATCGGACGATATTTTAGATACCGTTCGGTGTGCTCAATTTCAAGGTCTAAGTTTAAGTCGTCTTGATCGATCTCGAATTGTAATTCTCATGATTGGCTCTCACTGTGCGAGTCGCTTTTCTTCCATCGGTCGTTTAATAATAAAATTATTTGACATTTCGTTCATTAGCCTTATGCTAGATACAATTACAACGACTGTAGAATAATTTTAATATTTTTATTATCAATTTTTAGTACACATTGGAGAAATAAGAGATTAATAATAATGTAAAAATTACGAGAATGGTAATTTTGAAATGAAAATTTTTCGTTTTATACATTTCATTTATAAATGCGTAGTAGGCAAAAGTCTTAAAATATTGCTTGTAGCAATATTTGAGAGTAAATTTTTAAGTATAATATAATATGAATTTTCTCATCAATGAAGTTATAATGACCGAATTTTTTTAGGGGCTCCGTATTGAAAAAAAATATGCCAATGAATAAGCATTTTGTATTTAAACATAAGATTAATCATAATAGAATATGTCATATCTCCATAGGCATATATTGTATTACATATTAATTTTATGTCACGACTAGGCAGTGTTACGAAACGGATTAGTTAGTATTATCAGTGCGCCGAGATATTTCCGTTCAAATTCATTATAAATTTTCTATTTGTTTAATAGAAGATACCAAATTATGATAATAATAATTATTATTGTAATTAGCTATTTATTGACGTGCTCCAAGTATTTATTATATTTAGATTGTGAAAATAAAGATAGCATATTTATTAAAAGCATTCATAAAGACAATTATAATTAATGTCACCCAATTATAATTGATGAAATTACAATCTAAATTATTAAACAGAATATTATATAAACATATTAATACTACGCACATTATTAATGTAATCAAAGTCTCATATGCTCTGGCATGTAATTTAAGCCGGTATATCCCTTGAATAGATAACTTATTCATTCGCTATAATAGTTGCAGAAAACGTATATATATATATATATAATTGTTAATTTTTATGAATTATTGAAAGTTTTTGTTTGTAATAATCGTAAGAATCGCACGAATTATACGTACTAAATTTGCACATACCGATGAACAAAAATATTACGTTAAAAGTTCGCCATTAATATTAAAGTAATATTACTTTTTTTTTTTTTTTTTTTTTTTTCCCCGATAATACACGACGTGCGACATCTACGTTTTATATACCTAATGTTTAAAATGTAACTTTTTAAAATGATAATATAAATAAAAAATTTAATTAATCTATATCAAATATAATGATAACAATTTTACGTATTCTCTAAGAGAAAGTTCAATTTTTCAAACAAATTTTAATTATAGATTTAATGCGTGATAAGTCTTTCACATATGCATTTTAAATTAGTTGTACATTTTGTATTTGTAGAAAGTGAGCTTCAACTAAATAAGCAGTTGTAGTAATTATGAATTCCCTACCTTATATTATTATACTTCATTCCCGCCTATTATTGGCTTTATTGAAATAAAAATTGTTTCATAAAATTATATTAAATTATTTTTCCATTTATCTAGCAACGATAAAAATTAATAAAACTTTCTTAAAAAGTATTACTTTAATTTTGCGTTGTTTATATTTTATACAGATGTATACTTCAATTTAAATATTCAAACTTTATATTATTATTAAACACTATCGTATTATTTGAAATTTTGCATATTTTGCACAAACATAACATTTATTACAATTGTTTTTGTAATTTTTAAGTAGCCAGAGATTTATTTCTTACAATGCAAATTAAATTACATTCTTTAACATTTTTTATTATAAATTTCACTATTGTGCCTTGAATGTGCGTTGCATACGAATACAACGTATACTAACAGTCGATTAATGTCGTGATTAAGTGACATTTGACAAATGCCAGTGTAAAAATTGAATAATATTGATAATAAATAGCAGAATTTGTAATGTAGAGCAACGGTGATAAGTTTTTAGCATACAAAGTACAAGCTCCGTCGCATCTTAATATACACCCATATGTGGCACGACCATCATTTTTACTTTCTCTTATGGAACGAAAATTTTACTTTTTTTATAGGTTCGATAAACTTCACCAGTGAATATGCGTGGCTAAATGAATGTAGAACTTTTCAAATATTTCTCTTACGAGAAATCGATTTATTTATTAATTGCGATATGAAAATTTCATTTTTTGCTGATTTTAAGGAGAATTACTTTTTTTTTATTTACCCTCCCAAGTATTTTTAATAGAATCCATACTTTTTATAACAAGAATAATCAATAATATTATTAAAAAGAATTACAATAAACCTTAAATCAATCATTGTTAATATTACATGACCATTAATTATCAATTATTAACAATAATAAGTTAACTTGTAATAACAACTTGATACACGATTAAGCTATTATATCCTAAAAGTTTCGATTGATTCGAAATTTTAATTCATTTATTTTAATTTATACTTTTATCATTCGACTATTATGTGTACGTGACTAACTTTAATGATTAATATATCGATTCTCATTACTTATAATCATTAAATTTTTAGTAAAATTAAAAAAATTTCAATACATCTCATAAATAGTTTATATGAATATACAATAAAGAAATATATCAATCTTTGAAAGGTAAGTATGTAATTACGGATAATTTGATACTATGTATAATGAATGAATGAATAAAAAAAAAAAAAAACAAAAAAAAAAAAAAACAAAACAAAACCGGAATCGAAAATGAAAATAGAATATATTCTACTTTATATAAGAAATGTGTGTATGACAACACTGAAGCGAAATAAGCTTTTTTGGGTTAACGGCACTTGACTTTTTGATTCGTGCCTTTCTTATTCCAATATTCAGCGTCAATGCTAAATATTATAAACCGGATATTGATCATCACCTTCATACTTTCATACATAAAATCAGAACTGATATTAAAATAAAGAAAAAAAAAAAAAAAAATTTTTCAAAATTATTTGTTCTTATTTAATATAAATGGATATTATTCATTTTGACCAATTTTGTAATAGTATTCTTTAATCAAATTTGTATAAAATTTAAATTAAAGTGACAATGTATAAACATTGCATGATTACATATTGTCACTTCAATTATTCTTATTACGTGTGTGTTATATTATGTCTATATTAAGGTAGAATTTATTTAACTCAGTTCTTTTCCAGTTAAATAAACAAATTGTTTAAATCAGCTACGTATTTTAAGTTGTATATTTGAATCTTACTTTTAGTGGGATGAAAGCATAGTTATATTTACGTTTAAATATTACTATATCAAAGGTTAGTTGTTTTTAATAGCTGTGCTATGTAAATTTACTTGTGAAGTTTATCATTATTCTAATTATGGAAAAAATATTCCAAACTTTTCACGTTTTAAATGCATTATAATAATTTATTTCAATAGTATAACGATATAAAATGTGTATAAATACATAATATATAGAGAAAAAAAAAAAAAAAATTAATCATAAAAGTTGAAAAATAATGAAATATATTTACAAGTATAAGTGGTGG